TTCCAATTAGATGAGGATGTGCTAGAAGGAAGTACCATCATAAAACTGCCACGTTCAGACCACAGCATGGTGAGAATCCAAGTCTGGCTCTCTCCCACAGATGGAAGACGCTTGCCAAGGTCACGCAACAACCTGGCTTGAAATGACCAGCTTCCATGTTGTCTGAACTGGAGAGAAGACAGGGGCACAGAACGGTAAGGAAACCATTCCTGGGGGAGTTTTGGGTATGACCAAGGGAGAGAGCAGACCCAAAGCCCGAAGCTCAGCCCTGCCAAGACCCAGTCAATCAACACGGAGCCTTCATCTACAAAATGGATTCGTCTCTGAAGCGGACATCGTGATGTCTTGTTCACAGGACTTTGGAGGGGATTAAGTGGAGTAATACGTGTAAAGCAGGTGGCACGTTCCCCAAACACGAATTCCTCACTGTCTTCTGTCTTACACAGCTACCACAAGTGCTTTTGAGAAGGGGAGGCACAAGGGAAACGTTTTCTCTTAGAGCTGAGTATTGCCAAAAGGACAACTGTGAGTCTTGGATTTCCTTTTCTTCGGGGGTTTTCCTTACACAGTGGCTGTGAAATGGCCATTTTCCCCATCAGCCTAAGGAGGAAGGAGAAATATTGCTTCTCCCTCCTTCCCCACTGCCTCTGCTGTAGGAGAGCTCCCTCGCAGGTACTCGGGCCAGCAGCTTTTAATGGAGCTGTGGCCAGATCCTCACAGAGAGGAAAGTGATTTCTATGAGATTAGCTGAGTGGTGAGGCTAATACAGTTACGATCCAATAAACACACTGATTAGGGTCATTTTTGCTCCTTCCCTCCCTCCCTCGCCTCCTCCTGCTGAACCTCGGCAGGACTGGGGCAGGCTCTGCTCGGAAGGGCCTTCAAGAAGATGGCTAAGGCTAGGGCTTCCCGGCCAGCTTGACCTGAGGATGCTCTAGGATGGAGCAGCTGGACAGGACAGCCTGCAAGGCAGGAGATTCAGGTCCTCACCCGTGCCATGAACCTAGATCGTTCTCTTTTTCTGCACCTCATCTTCCTCCTCTGTATGTCAAACGTAGAGATAAAAGGGCTGAACTTCACATCAGAAGTTCTCAAATTCAAGACCTAGCCCTGCCCTTCACTAACTATGCCACCCTGGGTCCATTATTCTATACATCCTTTCATTCTGTCCAAGGTTTCTACTTGTCTTTGGTTCTCAGTTGGCTTATCTGCAAATGGGCATCCTGAATGCCAACCTCAGAGGCTGGTTTGGGGGATTAAGAGAAAAATACACATAAGCAGCTTCCACAGACCATGGAACAGAGAAAGGGCAACAATAACCTCTCCTTTTCTTCTAAGGTTCCTTCTGGTTACCTCTATGAAAACATTTGCTGTTGCTGGGCCTAAAAGAGGGCTCCAAAGCTACTTGCTGAGGGATATTAAGTGGCTAAGAAGGACCTGGCTCTTTACCATGAGGCGTATCACAGAACCAGGCCCTGGCCACCGGGGTTCATTCCCCATTCCTATGCATGGTGGACTTCTCCTCCATCTAGTCCTGTAGACAGGAGAGAGAGCCTTCCCAGGCCTGTTAGTGCCAGGCTGACATCTCAATTCTGGCCCCACGCAGTCCCAGCAGTCACTGGTTTTCCACATCGAAGGGGTGGCTGGCCTGGCTTAGAATCAATCCTGAAAGCCATTGGTAGGCTTCTGCCTTCTAAAGAGACTGTAAGGCTAAATTGTATTCACACTGGCCTCTAGTGGCAAATTTCCAAAACAGCATGCTCAATGGAAAGTTGGCAGTGGAAGGAATCTTCTCAGAATGACCCAGATTTAGAAACTTAGGGTTAATAGGGGCCTCATTCTGATCTTCACCTGATGAATGAGAAAACAGTCTCAGAGGTAAAGTGATTTGTCCAATGGTCACACAAAAGCCTTACAGCTCACTGTCCATAAACTGGCTCTCTGTGGTTTTAGGGATGCAGTTAGGAATCACGAATTACTTACTTGAACAAATAAGGGCCCATTTTTCAAAATCAGACCAAGTCAGCCTTAGCGTGAGACCCTGTTTTCTTCCCCTACACATTTTGCTTCTTTTTTCCCCTCCTCTCTTTTATCTGTTAAAAAAATTAAAAATGTTGCTGGACAATCTCCTGTCCTGGTAGCGACATGAAGAACAGTAATCTACTCTATAGGCAACAGGGCTCTAAGGCCATGAAGTGCTTTGTAGGCAGTAAACCCTGCCACTTACACAAATGTGCTTCCCAATGCCTCCTCCTCCACACGTTGCAAGAATGTAGTGCCAGAAGGGCCACAGTGACAGCTCGGATTGGCTCGAGGATCTGGGGGTAGGAATCGTTTCCCGTGTGCAGGGAAAGCTATTTTGACATATTCTGGAGACGCAATCCAAAAATAAATCAAGCTGAGGACTTCCACAGAGCTTAGTGGAAAGGCTTTGCTGCTGTACCAGCTAAAGCTTGGGTTGGTAAAGCTATTTCTGCAAATGGATCTCAATCTTTTCCTGACAGAGAACAATTTTTAATTTGATTTATTCAGTAATAACCTCTCAAAGAATTGCATAAGGTGCTGAGGGGGCTTCCAGAGAGGAATAAGACAAGGGCTTTTGCTCTCGGAGTTTAGCCCGGTGGGAGGGAGTGATGTGCAACTTCAGGCTGCTGAAATGTTGGGGTGAAAAGGCAGGAGAGGTGTGCAGTGGCTTCAAGGACCACCGGTGCGAAGGACAGCTGTTTCCTAAAGGCCCGTCCCTGTTCTAAATACTTGCTCCAGCTCATTTGATCTTCACAACAGCCTTATGAGGTAAGGCCCATTGCCCTCATTCTGAGGAAACTGAGGCACAGAGACACTAAGGAACAAGTTCATCATACTGCTGCTAAGTGCTGAAGCTGGGCTCCGAGGCCTGGCGGTCTGCTTTCAGAGCCCTTTACCCTCAGTGTCATGACCGATGACGATATATCCCTGCCTTTCTGTGATGTCTACTAAATCATACCATCTTGGTCATTCTGGTTCCCACACAGGATCTCAGGGTCACACGTGATCTGATGTTCATGGTACACTAAATGGGAATGTAAGGTGGAAGGACACTGGTTCTTAAAGCTCTACCTTAGCAGCCAAAGCCAAGAGCTGGTAAAGCTCAGCCTGTGCTCTGAATCCCTTCAATTGTCTTAATCTTCTAAGAGGCAGAAGAAAAGGTTAATGTCCTGACTGCTCATGCTCTTAAGAACCACCCCCTTGCCCCAGTTTCATGTTGGGCAAACGTGAGCATTAGACTCTCACTATTCAAAGTGTAGTCTCTGGACCAGCAATCACCACCACCTGGGAGCTGGTCACAGATGCAGAAATCTCTGGCCAGATGCTGAATCTGGATCTGCTTTCTAAGAGGAGGCTCCCCAGTGCTTCTTATGTGTGGCAAAGTGTGAGAAGCTTGGGCTACTCCCCGTGGGGGCCATGCACTTTTCAGTCTGGGTACATGATCTATTTCATTAATCCCCATCTAAGTTACAAACTCATCCTGTGTTCTCCACATAACCTACCCTCATCTTGATCTCTTTGAGCTGTGACTGAAATGAGCTGTGTCCCAGCACATCCCACTTCCATGAGACTTGTCCTAACTGTACTTTTCCAGAGAGGATGTGAACATTCATATGACAAAAGGGTCAACCAGGATTCCTTTTACACAAGCTCCCTTTACATAGAATCAGGAATTTCTACATCTCTGGCTACCTGGCAGAATCACTAGAAACTGTGATTCAATTCAAGTTTTACTCTTTGAGGTCACCTCCTTTATGAAAACTGGCATGTGCTTGCATGTATGATCACCATGGCACACGTGTGCTATGCTTATCCAGAAACAAGGAACTGTGCCTGTGTGGCTCTCTTACCAGTGTAATCACAGTCTTGTTTATTTCTCAAAGTAGCCGTAATACATTTCCACCACTCCCATGACCTGGGTGAAAACAGGGATTTTCAGGATTATAATTCTGGAAGGTGAGTGATTGAGTATCTTATTCCTTGCTCCCAGAGGAGGATCCAATTATGTCCACCCAGTCCAAGCTGAAAGAAATGTATTTCTACTTTCCCACAATAGAACTCTGTGCCCTAAAACCATCTCTGGGAGGTTACAGAGTCATATATATAGTTTGTTGTTGGGTTTTGCTTTCTTGTTGAGATAAAAGGCAACGATGCACATGGGGAAAGCTTGGGGAACAGAATCTTGTTCGGCCATTCCATAAAGTAAATCACCATTTCCAAAATTAGAGAGTATAAGGAGGAACATTTAAGCTATAATCCTCTTTCAGTCAAGGAGCTATCCATTTAAGAAAGCAAATACCACAACACATATTACCCCTGGGTTCATGATGACATGCGGGTGTATCTCCTGCAAGTTCACGTAACAGTTCGGGTATCTCAGCACATTCACTTGGTTAATCCACAGGGGTGTCCCCCTCGCTCAGAAACAATGGTCAACAGCACTTAACTTCTTTCTCTGGTACTACCTTTTAAAGTCAAACCTACTCTTGGATGGCAGAAATCTACTAGAGATCCCAAATCCTAAAATGATATGAAAACCTAAAGATCAGTCCTACAGTAAGTAACACTTGAGATGATTCAGATGTCCCAATGGCTGTTAGAACCTCATAAAATATTTAAGATCAGACTACAGCAGTGATTTCAACCATCAATGGCATTTTATTTTGGAAGTTTCTATGCATTCCATAGGTATTAACTTCCTTTCCCTCACCACTCCCTCCTTAAAAAAATTTAGAAAGATTAAAAAAATATATATAAACTCTCTTACCTAATTTCTCTTAAGTCTTAGTTTAAAAAAACTTAAGTGGTGCTTCTCCTTTATGAGAATACTGCTTTTTTAAGAACTCACAGTCTGCCTTTATGCTCACTATAGATTTCTACTCCTTCCTGGAGAAAAAATGGTCAATGTTTCTGCTTCTTTTTAATAAATTCATTTCTCGATTATTACACATTATCATTCCCCACTTGACACCTTCTTAGAAACTTGATTGTTGGATGCGTTTTTCATTTGGCAAAAATTCAATGTGGCTTTGCGTGGGATGTCTAAGTGTCAGAAACAGCAGTGTTGATGTTCTGAGAGGAAAAATATATACAGAGATGCATACAATCCATGGAAGAACAAATGCAAGAGACTGAAATAGGGGGCGCACACAGTTAAGAAGGCTGATAGACACTATTTGGTTTTGAATTCTATGGCTGTCAGCCACTAAAGACTGCAATGTAGGCCGGAATATAAATTTCCACAAGAGGTTGGTTAGGCACTGTGAAATGACAGAGTTGGCTTCACTCTGAAGTACATAAAGCAGAGACACACAGGAAGGAGCAGTCTGGGTCACGTGCAGTGAGATCATGAAGAGCATTTCTGCAAATGTTCAGTCAACACGGGCACTGGGGAAGAAAAAGAAGCATCTGACTAAAATACACTTCCATCTCTAACTCACCCAAGACCCCAGGCCTCCTCAGTGCCTCAGATCTGCAAGGCCAAAATGAAGTTTAGAGTTATGTGTCATTCTAGGTCATCTGCAAACTGGTTTGTTGGGGCCATCTCAGAAGACCTGGGTGTGCCCGAGAGGGCAGCAAGTCTACCCGGAAGGGTATGCCTTAATGATCTTCACATCATCCACGGGGCGGTCCTGGGAGTTTGTTTCCACCATTCCAACTCGATTCACCATGCCTATACCCTGACACACACGGCCAAAAATGGTGTGTTTGCCATCAAGCCACTGGGTAGGAGCCAGGGTCACAAAGAACTGGCTGCCGTTGGTGTCAGGCCCTGCATTGGCCATCGCGAGAATTCCAGCCCCTGGTGGCAAAAAGGAAGAGGAAAGAGTATGAGTAACCCTGACACTCCAGCCTGGACCTGCTACGCCAGCCGAGGGATAGAAAGAAGCCACACTAAGCACCCGACCGGACAACCTTGCCCTCAGGGCAGGCTCTCTGCTCCCGCACACAGGCTGACAGCTGGACTGCCCCAGCGGCCTCACCTTCCTCGTCTTCACCTGAAGTGAAGCTGCTCAGTCACGTCTGACTCTTTGCAATCCCATGGACTGTTGCCTACCAGACTCCTCCATCCATGGCATTTTTCAGGCAAGAGTACTACAGTCGGTTGCCATTTCCTTCTCCAGGGGATCTTCCTGACCCAAGGATCAAACCCAGGTCTCCCGCATTGCAGGCAGACACTTTACCCTCTGAGACCCCAGGGAAGCCCTGTCTTCACCTATTCCTCAGCTTATATCCATCATGATCCCTGCTAACTGCTGGACCAGGTTCTCAATTCCCCTCAAAAATCCAGGAAGGTTTCCTGCTTCTTTGCAAAAGTTTTTGCTTTTTTACAACATTCAACAAGCAGGGAGAATTGAGATCATTCAGACCAGCACTCTGAAACACTCAGGACTCCGAGAGGCGCCGCTTTCCCTAATCAGCCAGAGCTCTTTGGGCGCTGCAGCTGGGCAGCTACATGGCACCACACCACGGTGTCAGGCAGTCACCCTGAATCACTGCCAAAAGAGTGAGCTTTTAAAACCCACTGCCTCTTCCTACCCAGTCCAGCCAGATCATATACTTACCTGTGAATTTCAAGTCTGGATGAAGTTCATCTTCAAACTGCTTGCCATAGATAGATGCACCACCTCGACCTGCCAGTTAGAAGATGGGAAACCAGTCAGTCAGTCCCATGTTCTACCACACAACAAGAACTATGGTCCAGGGCCAAAAGACTGGAGTACAGGAAAGGAAAATCAGTGAGCACACCCAGCTGCCCGAGAAGTACACTGCAAGTACACAGCCCAGCAGCAGAATCAAGCACTGACGCAGCACATTCAGATCACCAGTTTCATTTAGGTAGGACGTTTCTCTTCAAAATGACACTGTTTTTTTTTTTTCCTGCTTATTAAAGTAATACATGTTCTCTGTCAAAATGCAGAAAACATAGATCATTATCAAAGGAATAGCAAATTCTCCTGAATCTAACAATCTACAATAACCACCAATCATGATTTGACGTGTTAAGAGCTTTCTTAATTTTTTACACTTTTATGAGTACTTCAGACAGGAGTGGTCCAAGCCCTAACCCTGTGCTAATCAATCAGCATTCTTCCCTGCAGAGCTCAGACTGGCCTCTGAATCTGTACCCACCCACAACTCCAGACAGCTGTTTTCAATGGCTCAGAGATGGCATAAGAATTAAAACCTATTCACTATCCTTAACCTAGATGAAGGGAAAAAAAAAATCATTTAAGTCAAAGACAACTAGCTTAAGGAGAAAAAGGGACAGTGCTAAGTGGCAATGTGGCAGAAAATAATATTACAGTAAAAATTCATTAGAAGGACAGGCCACATACTGTAAGGACAATATGAAGAAACATAGCACTGGGAACGATTTGCTGGTAACCACACCACCACATTATTTATATTATTGATATGTCCATAAGAGTCCATACTCTTGCTATGCTGGGCACCCAGGTTTATTGCTAGAAAAAAATGATATGTTAAATAAGAATTTACCATAGGAAAAAATGTCCTAATAGGAGATAACTCTCTTAATCAATTATTTAGTCAACCATATGCCTTGTTGAATTATTTTGGCTTCTCAGGGCTTTCTTGATAGCTTAGCTGGTAAAGAATCCACCTGCAATGCAGGAAACCTTGGTCCAATTCCTGGGTCGGGAAGATCTGCTGGAGAAGTGATAGGCTACCCACTCCAGTACTCCTAGGCTTCCCTTGTGGCTCAGCTGGTAAATAATCCACCTGCAATGTGGGAGACCTGGGTTCAGTCCCTGGATTGGGAAGATCTCCTGGAGAAGGGAAAGGCTCCCCACTCCAGTGTTCTTGCCTGGGGAATCCCACAGACTGTACACAGTGCTGGGGTCACAGAAAGTCTCACATGACTGAGTGACTTTCACTTTCACTTTCACGTTGGCCAGTCAAGACAAAACAGCCTGAAAACAAAGTGAACAGTGGATTTTACCAGCTTATTCTGCTTGCCTGGCTGCCAGGAAACTGGTCAGAGACAGGGAGCTCACTTTCTTTTACAGCCTGCTGTGAAAGTAGCATGTTAAAGCACCATGTCCACCCCCAGAGGGCCCTGGGCCCTGCTAAGATGTTTCCATGGTAAAAAAAATCCTTTGCTTTATCTTTTAGGATGCTCCACCACAGGGAGCCTGTCACAGCCCCCGGTTCAGGAAGGAAGCACTGTTCTCCTGTAAAGAGGCATGGGGGTGAATCCTAACAGAGTTGGGGAAACCTCCCACCTGGCCCAGGCTACCTAAGCTTCTGGAAAATTACTGAACTACCAAACTATGTAAAAATTCATTCCAAAAATTCCAACTTGCCAGTATACCTCCAAACAGCACTTATATAAACCAATACATTCCCTCTGACTACAGGGTCAAGGTTCCTGCTTGAGCCTGGGGTGAAGGTAGGGGGGTCAGCTGCAGAGCTAGGGCTGAAGATGAAAGAGGAGAAAGAGAGCTATGGGCACAAATCCAGGTCAAGCCCTACTCCCAGGGCTTGAATGAGCAAGCTGAGGGTGAATTTCAGCAGCTCGGAAGCATGATCTCTGCAAGTCAAGGACTGCCAGAGCCTCGTGGATGAAGCCTGGAGTTTTAAGCAATCAGGAGATGGGAAGAAAGGGCCTGGAGACTCCTTTTTACTCACTAGGCATAGTTTGACCAACCACAAGTACTTCAGGCCATGAAGACAGTTTACTCATAATGTTATCTTTTCATAACTTAATTCAGTTCAGTAGGGTTTGCAGCAAAATGTCAGAAAGACAGATAATTCCAATCAAAGCATTCCTTTGGGCATGTGGAATAGGGGAGAGACTGTAGGAGGACTGGAGTGATTAAAGAGTTCTCTGGGGAAAAAAAAAAGAGTTCTCTGGTGCAGAGCGGGCAACAGGTCAACGATCACATACAAAGTCAACAATTAGGAAGCTCTGCGGTCAAAATCGGAGAAGGCAATGGCACCCCACTCCAGTACTCTTGCCTGGAAGATCCCATGGACAGAGGAGCCTGGTGGGCTGCAGTCCATGGAGTCGCGAAGAGTCAGACATGACTGCACGACTTCACTTTCACTTTTCGCTTTCATGCATTGGAGAACCCACTCCAGTGTTCTTGCCTGGAGAATCCCAGGGATGGGGGAGCCTGGTGGGCTGCCGTCTATGGCGTCGCACAGAGTCGGACACGACTGAAGTGACTTGGCAGCAGCAGTCAAAATGCACTGTGTGCCTCCTCTGGTACAAGCACAGGCCCGTTTTCCACACTGTACTCTCAAAGTTCTTCACTCTTCAGTCCTCTCTTTCAAACATTTACTCAAAGTATTTAATGTTCCAGACATAAAATAATACAAAGAATAATATGGCAAACAACTGTGTATCCTCCTCTCAAGGAATGAAAGTGTGCAGGGACTCCCCTGGTGGTCCAGTGGCTAGACGCCTCACTCACAAGGCAGGAGGCACAGGTTCAAATCCCTGTTCAGGGAACTAGATCCCCACATTTGAGAATTTGCAATTGAGAGCTTGCATGCCGCAACTAAGACCTGGTGTAGCCAAACAAATAAAAAGAAAAAAAAAAGAAAGAAAATATGGCCAGTCTGACAGGAACAGAGTAAAGGGACAAAGTAGGTGATTAAATACTTAACCCCACTAGGGGGACTGTAAGTAGAAAGAACACGCGAGACCCCGTAAGTTAATGATAAAGAGCAGGCTTGCTTAGCAATAGAAGCATGAGACCTGCCCCCAAACAATCAAACAGTGGTGGCATTAGCCCCACATCCTGCCCAATGAGCTCGGTAAGTGAATGATCCCCAGGACATGCTCTCTGCACACATAAAAAACAATAATTTGCGGACCTAACTTGACCATATAGGGATGAAAAACTTCCCTACGCAACCTGGAGGAGGAACTGATGATGGAAACATAATGTCTAGTCAGAAAAGACAAAAAAAGTTCTTCCCCTGCTCCCCGCTTTTCCTTTGATTATAAAACTGTAGCCCAGTTCTCAGCACATGGCAATCCCTCGCCTGCCCACTTGTAAACCGCACAAGCACCCTATTCTAATAAATCACTTATCTATATCTCTTTGCCTCTCACTGAATTCTTTCCATGCTGAGACATAAAGAACTGTGGTACTGGGAACTCTTTGAAGCCTCCTGAAATCACACCAGACAGTTTCAAATCCAGTCAAAGACCCCAAGCACACATCCCCCACCCCCACCGCATTTCCCTCCCTCAACTCCACCATTCCCCCAAGAACTAACAAGGGCTGTGATGGAGCTCATTTTCCTCTCAGGTAACCACTATTCTGACCAGGAATTTGACATTTCTGTGCATTTTCTTTTCTACTACATATTGTATGCATCC